TTGGGGGATGACTCAGAGGACGGTGGTGCAGCTGGGGGAACAGCTGAACCTCTTCTCCTGTTGAATGCTTCTGGCACTGCAGGAGATGGAGCAGTTCTTTGAGGGGAGGGACCTGACACTGCCCATACAAGATCCGGAGCCCGCCAACAAGACTATGACAGCAGCTTCCAGACTACCAAGATGACGAAGGTGATGACTGTAGTCCAGAGGCTCCGATTAGGCCTCGCCCAAATGGCCCCTCAGAACTTTGAGGATGCCCCAACAAGCAGGAGAATCACCAGGCAAGTGTTGACGCCCAACAACATGGCTGATTGGAGACTCACCTTCTCAAAAAGGTGGCTCATCATCGGGGACTCTGTCACTCGAATTCCAACATTCAACACGCCTGATCTACAAATTGACAGTTTTCCTGGGGCTAAGTGGCAGCTAGTGGAAGCCAGAAAGGCAACATCTGCTGTGCTGTTGATAAAAATAAGGAAAAGTAATTATTTCGTTCGGGATCAACAACAGAGGTCAACAGTTGACAAGCACAGCGATCCAGGAGCTTAAGGGGCATAAGTGTTTGTGCATGAAATTTATTTTAGCACCTTGTTCCCCCATCGACAGCAGGCCATGGTAAAGCACTTTAACAGTTTCATTCATACTCTTCACCCTTGTATGTAGAAATGGGGTCCAACCGACCCCACACAAGTAAAACTTGTATCATTTGCCATAGTCCTCTACGTTTGCCTCAGTCCTCGCATGCATAAGGGTTAAGGGGTGTCTGCCTGCCCTGCCTGGGGGCTTTGAGATGGAGAGGAATGGGATCCACTGGACTACCATCACAGCTGCCATGATGCTGTCCCACTGGTACCATCTGGCAAAATAGAGATCCCCGCTAGCCATAATCCTTTGGAGGGGGATCAGACAGTTGGCTGTGGTTTGACCTCAGCCAACTAAAGGCTATAACAGCAAATGGTTGAAACTAAAACGCACGCATGATCTTCAACAGTATCACATGAGGCTTAATAAAGCTCTGTTTTTTAGTGCTGATTCCAGCAGGAAACCTCAACCTTTTACTATCTACCTGGTCTCCTCCTATCCAAGAATTGCCTCCCGAAACTGAAATTTTAATCAGGATCGACTTGGACTTTTTTAAGAATAACTTCAAATTAGATAAATTGGAGCCCAATGTGGATGAAGCTGAAATTTCAGGATTAGAAGAACTAATTGAGAATGATCAAATTGTCATCAAACCTGCAGACAAAGGGAGTGCAATCGTCATTCTGGACAAGTACTGATGTTTGCAAGCAAAGGAGGATCAGATAAGTGGAAGTCTGGACAGAGCAAATGAGCTGAGCATTCTTCAACAGGTTCAGTTCAGGAGCTCATCATCATCCTATTCTGTCCCCAGTCAAACAACCTCCCACACTCTTCCGCCATGTAAATTTTACATATTGGTTGATGAAATATGGTTGTCACGATTATGTGACTTTTATGGCTTAATGAGAGGACAATGTCATGAAATGTTGAGAAAGACCAAAAAATGGCAGCTTGTTCTACAATGACCATTGACATGGTTTATGCTAGACTTAACTGTTATCTGATCAGCTTCATCATCTTATGTCTTTACATAAAGATAAGGTGTGGATCTAAAAAAAATTACCACAAATGTAAAGTAACGTGATTGCATATTTTCTGTTGTGAGTCTTTATGCAGGTGGACATTGTAGAGGCGGACTATATTTGAGGGCCAGAAGTTTTGCTGATTGTCAGGTGTTCAAATACTTATTTGCAACACAAACACAAATGATCAAAAAAAATCATACATTGTGATTTCCGGATATTTTTTAGATTGTGTCTCTCACAATGGATGTGCGATGATGAAAATTTCATGATTTCTAAGTGGGAGAACTTGCAGGGTGTTCAAATACTTATTTTCCTCACTGTATATATTTGCAAAAGTTACATATTGTAGCTGTAAATCATTTCTACACCTACTTATACATGCTTAAAAATGTGTTGAGTTCTTATATAACTCCCTCCAGGTTGAAAAACAGACACAATACGTTCTTGATGTGAACTGACATTTAATTAGACACAAGTGTCTTTAACAATACCGTGAGAACTGTCCAAAAACAGCACATAAAATAAATTTTTATACAGAAAGACATTCTCATAGAGAATAGACAAATAATATTAAACACCAAAACATTCACAATACAGTAGTTTGACTTACAAAAAATAGTCACCTTTAAACACACGTGGCTAAAAGAAACTCAACAAATTCTTCACAAATAGATTTTCTATTTACACACAAATATGTAAAATACAAAGTATTTCTCATTGGCCGCTTTATCCTGAAGGAGTTAAGAAAAGCACCTCAACGTACGGCTCCAGATGAGTTTAACGGGGGAGCATTGACGTATTTTGGGGGGGCGCAAAATGAATCTACATAGTAATAATATTACTGAAGTAAAAGAAAAAGCTACAGTGCAGTAAAACTACTCTTATAAATACCTTTTTTTCCAAAAAAGTTACTCAAGTGAATATAACAACTACTACCCACTTTTGAACATGGATAACAGCACAAGTAGCCTACAGGCTACTTTCGCTTAAGGTGCTGTATTGGTAGTAGTCATCCTTAGCTAAGATTACCTGCATCCAACAGCATTACTGAACTCAGTTTCGGGGGGAAAACTGTGCAAAATTCAATGCGTTTTGCTGGTTTTCTGCCACGATTCTAACACAAATGTGCGTAGCTCTGCACAACAACAGCAGGTCTCATTCGCTCCCACACAGGTGTAAACCCAGCGCGAGCATCTTCGCATTCAAGTTGCGTTTAAAAGCGGCTCGGAAAAACAGGTTACGGCGTGTTAACAACAGATTTAACAGTTTTAACTGCTGAAAAAAGCGACAGAAGGCACAGATAAGTGAAGTGCGGAAGCCCCTATTGTATAAAATTAATGTAGGAATAACAGAGAGTTGGCCACTCTGCGGTAAAAACAACAAGCAGCTTCCAGTGCAGGGGGTGGGGGGGGCACAACTTGAGTACACTTTTCAGGTACTCTAACCAATCTTTGTGTATGAATGCTTAATTGATTATCACTATTTTACATAAGACATCAACATACAATGAGGCATACCATACCACTGCTCCATGAGTGCAGTGGTGTGGTATGTCCCTGAGGAGCGGTGGTGGGCGTACCTTATTTTTTAATGCTGAAAGGTGACATCCCTACCTAGAAACCAAAGATTATTCTCCAGGCTAGAGTTCAGTGTCCAGTCACGGCAATGATTATGGCAAGTTTCTATCACCAACTTAACTTTCAGAATAGTGTCACTGAGTTACTTCTCAATTTTACGAAAACTCCCTGAAAGACTATGAAAGAAACAATGGAATTGATGTTGTGTTCTGATACAAGAAAAAAAAATGAAAATGAGAGAGGATAACTGATAAAAGTCAAGAGTGTAAAAGAACACAAAGGAATGAATGATGAGAGTAACAAAGATAAAGAAGGTAGTCTCTTAGAATAAATACTTTGGAGCAGAGGAGAATGACAACAAGTTTGAGACGAAGCAACACTGACAAATCTCCCAGAATATGATAGGGAGCACAAGTCTAATATTCTATCAACCAGGGACACGTCTCTAACAAATCACTTAATATGCAAATAGTGCTACATTTACTCCAATGACAAATCACAGTGTCACACACAGGCACTAACACACACACACAGGCACAAGTGGGTTATTCATCTCTCACACATATTAAATCATACAGTGCATAAATATGTGCTGTGTGAAGGAAAGATGATGTAGTTCCACCTGCAGTGCAGCTGTTTGTTCAAATTCATATATTTATTGATACACTCATTGAACAAACAATGGAGAAAATATTAAAAATAACAATACCAACAGCTTTAAATTTTTTAGAACATAATTTGGAATTTATCATGACAGTGAGAAATACAAGTTCTTCTCATGACAAGAACTTTATCGCACTAAATGATAACAAGCAAGAAGAAACCAACAAGAAGGGAGCACACCGTACCATTACTCAGCGTTACGTTGTTGTCACGCACAGCGCCGCCATGATACATTTCTTGAATTCTACTTATTATTATTTTAAATAAACATAATTCTAAATTAAATACCAGCTCAGTAGCTACTGCAGTGTGTAGAGCAATACAGGCAAGCAAAGTTGTAAAAACAAATAACACTCTCACTGAGACTCAAATCCTGTTGTTCTTGGGAAGAAGCCGTTCACAAACAATGCTTAGTGAACGTCACGTCACTAACTCAGATGTGTAGGACAGATCAGCAGAATAGCGACAAGCCTCCTGGGTAGGTTAGCTTTCTGCTACCTCTCAGTGAATAATGGTCTCGATCAGTGGCGAAAATCCAATTTTAGTTTTTTTCTGGGCAGGGGGCGGTGTTAGTGGGAAAATAAGCAGGAATATTTTAGAGCATAATTTTCGGCGGGCCATGTAAAAAGCCCTCCCCCTTTTGTTTCCTGCTCCTTTGCCTTGTAAGAGTGAGCCCTCACCTTGTCAAATAACATTAAAAATAAACAGTAGTAATACATTATGCTGCATATTCTACCTATATGCACTTTTTCTATGTTCAATCAGCAATGGTAACAGGTGGATATGAGAGGCCCCATGGGCCAAAACTTACAAGCTCTCTTACACGTACTATCAAACTCTCTCACATTCGCTATCAAACTCTCTTACACGTACTATCAAACTCTCTGACAGAGTTTGATTGCAACGGAAGTTAACTTAAAATTTCAGTTTCTGATTGGACCCCAGGCAGGCTTTTCAAAATAAAAACGGACCTCCGGTTTATGTTTGATTCATGTTTCTCTCCTGAGGCTTTAAAAATGTAAAACTTTGTGTTAATTGATTTGCTAAAGGAAATCATGTATCTGAAAATAAATTAAAACATATTATGTGGGCAAAAAATTCTGTAAACCACATATGTGCTACCTCAATCAAAGAGCTGGTCATCAATGAACAAATGGCCCCATTCCAACGCAGGCAAAGACTGAAGCAATACCTGCTAAACCCAAATATACGGGTCTGCAGGGTACTTCATATGGCTGGTGCAGATGGTGTTCCTTACAACTTGAAAATCTACACAGGGCGAGCCGTACCACCACCAAATCTACCAGATATGGGAGCTGATGGAAATGTTATCCTTTGCTTGGCTCAAATTCTACCAAAAAAATCAGAACTACAAACTCTTAAAAAAAAAAAAACCCTGCAGCCCTAAGTCCTGTCACTGATGTGAATCTGGTCGCTACAACCCATAGATAATCAGATAAACCAATGGTGATTCCCAGGTACGCCAATAATCAAGTGCAAAAAATGTGATATACAGTTTTTTTCACATCAGAAAGCAATTCCTTCCTGATGTTTAACATATAATGGGGAAAAAGATTAATTTCAACATCCTTAGTGATTCTAACTCTGCCAAACATTACATATGTACAAACACACAAATGCTCGTTTTAGTAATTTGTGCAAATGTACCATTCATTAATGAAAGTTAGTTGTTTATTTATATTTGGTGAGTTGGAAACATGTGTGATTTATTTTTGTCAAAAAAAAGTTTTTTATGAATATAGTTTTTGTTTGATTTGTATTTCATTTCTCATAATCACTGTAGAAAACTTGGCGTTTTAGACCCCTTGTAGCGCAATGTTGCCCTGAGGCAACAAACCCAAATCCGGTTCCGGGAGGTGTCAGGGTCCAATTTTATGATTGATATGTAATTAGGGACCAACAAGCTCCCACAGAATGCAGGAAAATATTTTTCCCCCAAAAAATAAAAAGTCATGCCATAGAGGGTTAATTAACACAAAGCTTTAGCCTGTTATAGCCGCCGGAGAGAAACTTGATGTGTGAATCAAACATAAACTGGAGATGCGCTTTTATTTTGAAAAGAGAGCGCCATAACTTGTGCTGTCGCGCACATTAAAATCGAGTGCAGGCTGGCTTTACTGCCATTTCCGAAGAGACGGCTAGCTTTATCCCACTGATAGATGGGGTTTCCGATGCTGGCTGTCGGCTTCTAAACACTTCTGATAATGCTGACATTACTGTAGGAGCGCTAACGATGTCATTTAAAATATTAGTTGCCTCGGTGAGTCGCTGCCGCTCAGCTATTTTTCCGTCCGTTAAAACCCGCCTACCCCTGCCTGGAGTCCAATCA